GGGCTCGTGCTGCTGCTGCTGCTGCTGCTGCGTGCGGCCGCTGCGTGTGGCATCACAGCGGCCTGCCACCTGACAATGCCGACCGCACCCCCCCGCCGCCGCAGCACGCTCGCACGAGCATACCGTTGCCCCCGCTCAACAACCGCCCCTCTCTCGCACGCGCACACCTTGGCGACCACGACGCCCTTGAAGCGCTTGTTCACGAGCCACATGCCCCCGATCATGCTGGCGGCGGTCAGCAGGCCGATCTTGAACTTGGTGCCCTGCATGGTGATCGAGAAGTTGCGCAGCTCCCTCTCCTGCCGCTGCTGCGCCTTCTTCTTGGCGTTGTTGTTCTGTGGGGATGCGTATGGGGCGCGGCGCGGGCGCAGCTCTTGGCACGTCCGGCCCCCTACGCACGTGGCGGCCGCTTTGGCCGGGCGTGCCACAACTGTGTGCGGCCGATCAACGGAAAATCCAGGGATGTTGTGGGGCCGACGACACACATTCCTATCTTCACCCACAGGCCAGCCGTTTGCCCTCCCAAGACTGTTGCAGCCGTGTGCCCTCGTAATCCAAGGCGCCGCCGCACGGCTGCGCGGAGCGCGCACGCAGCCCCATGACAAGACACCCCCATGCGCCGCAGCGCCCCCACCGGATCTGCGGCCAGCTGGTCTTGCGCCTCCTCCAGCTTCTTGCCCATCCGCTCCAGCTGCTCTATCTGGCGGCCGTAGCTGCCGGTGCGGTAGAACAGTAGCCACGTCACCGCCTCAAACAGCGCCGCGCTGAGCAGCGACACCGCGATCACCTGCAGCGCGTCATATGGCACTGCCATGCTGCCGCCGCCGCTGCTGCGATGTTGCTGATGCTCACACAACTCAAACAAAACCTAGCTTCTCTTCCTGGTAGCTATCGATGTAGCGAATGGAGTATGGGGGGCGGGGACGAGGACGGTGGGGAGGCGGCAAGGCTTGGGGGATGGCGCAGAGGCGGCACGAGCAGCAACGCGTACGGTAGCGCGAGTGCCCTGCGTCAACAGCCAGGCGTAGTGTGTAGCTTGGGCCCGTCTCAAAGTCGGTATACACGCGTTATGATACAAGGCACTCTTCCAACGAGCGGTTGTGGTGGTGATCACTGTACGTACCCACCAGACTCGAAGGACCGGCTGTCACGCGTGTACGGTAATGTGGTATGATATCACTAGCATGTCTCAGCTTTTTTGCATTCCACTTTTCCGTACCAACTTGATCACCTTGACGTTTTTCAGGGTGACATGAATTTGTGATCTCTCATTTCCAGATCTTCGTTAGGCCAAAGCATCCGTGTACTGTCTTGGTAGCACATCTAAGGTACAGTATCTGCACAGGGATATCAATGTGGCGTGGCTGACAAAGCACCATGACACCCACATCAATGTCCCTGATGCTGTTGCTTGTTGCCTCTGCTGCGCCGTTGCTTGCAGCCGCCGCGCCTTGGGCGCCGTTCAGCAGGTTGCGACACCATCCCATCTCAATGAGCCACCGGTGCAATCTCGCAGATGAGCGCGGCGGCGTCACAGGCCCCTATCCTGTATGTGTGGCCCCAGCACGGCAGCTTGCCGTCCCTCACAGCGGCCACGTTGCAAGCGGAGGTGCGCGGGCTTCGCAGCGGTGCTCCCCGCTTGTGAAGCCCATGGCGGCTGCGATTGAACCACACGTCAGGGAATCAACCGCGCGCTGCTTGCCATGCGTCTCGCTGGCGCCACGGCACAGTCCAGCCGCGCGCAGTCGCGCGTTGCTCTGCCTTCCTCACAACGCCAAAACCGCCCCACTCTGCAGGCATACCTGCGGCTAAGCGGCGCTGAGTTCTGCGTCGAGCGGTGCACCTCGGCCGGCGCGTCGCCATCAGGTGCGGGCTGCCCGCACCCGCCTCGCCCCCGTCTCGGCAACCTATGACGGGTAGCCATCCCGCCCCGCGACGCCGGCTGCCAGCTCCCACGAAACAGAAGCCTCGCCTCCCTCCGCCCCGCACCCGACGACCGCCCGCCCGCCCTGCCACCTCAATGCTCGCCCCCGCCCCCCTCCCCTGGTCACCCCAAGGCACGCTTCCGGCCCTGGAGCTGGGCGGCGACCTGCTCGGCGGCGCCCAGCCGACGGACCTCGCCGCCGCGCGCGCCCTCGTCGCGGCGCTGCGCAAGGCCGGCCGCGCTGACCTTGACCTGGACGCCCACCTGCAGCCCGCGCAGCGCGCTGAGGTGGCGGCCTTCGGGCTGCTGATCCAGACGCGGCTGGACCCCGCGACGCTGTGGACGTGCTGGCTGGAGCGGCGCGGCTTCCAGGAGTTTAGGAAGGCGAGTGTGCGGGGGCGGCCGCGAGGGGGGGCTAAGGAGACGGCGCGGAGCGGCGCGGCGGGCAGTGGCGGCTGCTGTCGAGCACGAGAAGAGCCGCCGTGCATGCCATAAGCGGGTGGTTGCCGCGCCAAGGCATGCAGGTGTGGCTGTGAGATGCTGCAGGTCGCCCCGATGCGCACGTGCACGCCGGGCTCCTGGCCCCTGGAGCTGAATGCGCCTACTCCTGCTGAGAGACTCAAGGCTGCCGCGTCCCCAGCCCATCGCACCCTCCGAGCCTCTCATCACACCCGTCCCCCGCCTCTGCCCGCCGCCAGGCCGCATATGGGGACTCCCTGCCCTTCCCACTCAACTGGTTCGTCCCCTGGACGCAGCAGCGGGAGATGCGGCGCCAGCTGGACGGCGTGGAGGGCGCAGCCGCGTTCCAGGACGCCGCCGATGCGCTGGCGCTGCTTGGGGACCGCCTGCGCGCTTCGGGCGGGCGCTTCTTCTTCGGGGACCGGCCCAGCAGCCTCGACGCGCTGCTGTTTGGCCATGCCGCGTTCTACCTGCACTCGCCGGTCGCAGCGCCGGTGCTGCGCAGCAAGGTGCAGGGTTCGGGGGGGGGGGGGG